TAAATATAAAACCCAGGACTCCACTTTTGGTTTGTAACTCCTTTTTGCTCCTATATAAAAGGTAAATTCATAAAAGAGAAATTATAACTCTGTGCTATACAGAGTGTATAAAAACATAAACTTGTGACAATGATCATAAAAGAGGAGGTATACATGATGTGTATATATACCGTTGTAATCAAGTTGGTATTATTTAAACTAGGTGTTCTAAGTTTAATATGTTCATGGTAACCCAAAAGTAACTACTTTTAAAAAAATCTAAAAATACATACAAAAAGGCAAGAATGGAATTAAAACATTACATTATAAAAATTCAACTAAATAATATTTTTAAAGGGCGAGAATGGAGAATTATTGTCAGGAAGGGCCAGTCCCCGGTGAAGGACATCATGTTTGGTAAAGTGGAGGGTCAGTGAAAATGAGGAAGATCCCTAAGGAGGTAGACTGACATGGCGGCAGCAAAAATGGCCTCAAACATAACAACAATTGTGAGTAGGGCTCAAAACCAGGCAGGGCTTCGTTCTTTTATGCATAGGGTCGCTATGAGTGGGACCCTATTCACAATGGAGAATTGAGGAACAAAAAGCATGTAAGACATACAAAAAGTTAAATGACAGAAGTAAATTCTTTCCTGTCAGGAATTATTTTACATGTAGTTTAAACTGTCCTATGGGCATGCGGTGGCTCATACAATAAGCACTGGTCTGCGAACCACAAGGTCCGCAGTTCAAATCCATCAGGTGTTCGTTCCACAGGAAAAAGATGAGACTTTCTGCTCTTGTGAAGATTGAAAGCTTCAGAAACCCTTATACAGGGTATTGGTGAAAAACAGTGCTCCAGGAACTGATGGAATACAAACTGAAAGCTTTCAACAAACTGATGCAACACTGGGGGCGCTCACTCATTTTTGCCAAGAAATCTGGAAGACAGCTAGCTACCTGGTCAACCAATTGGAAGAGATTCGTATCTGTGTCCATTCCAAAGGCAGGTGACCCAACAGAATGCAGACACCATTGAACAGTATCATTAATATTATATGAAAGTAAAGTTTTGTTGTCGATAATTCAAAACCAGCTACAATAATACTACATTGACAGGGAGCTGCCAGAAACTCAAGCAGGATTCAGAAGTGGGTGTGGAGCTAGGGCTATCTATCATTGCTGATGTCAGATGGATCTTGGCTGAAAGCAGAGAACATCAGAAAAATGTTGACTTGTGCTTTATTGACTACGCAAAGTCTTTAAACTGTGTGGATCATGACGAACCATGGATAGCATTACAAAGAATGGGTTTTCTAGAATACTTAACTGTGCACTCCTGGGAAACCTGTACATAGATCAAGAGGCAGTCATTTGAAAAGAACAAGGGCATACTGAATGGTTTAAAATCATGAAAGAAGTGTGCCAGGAATGTATTCTTTCACCTATTTATTCAATCTGTATACTGAGCAAATAATCTGAGAAACTGGATTATATGAAGAACATGGCATCAGGATTGAAGGAAAACTCATGAGCAACCTGTGATATGTAAATGATACTACCTTGGCTTGAAGAAAGTGAAGAGGACTTAAAATACTTACTGATGAAGATCCAACAATGTATTGCAGTAGGTAAATCTGCTGCCTGTGACCTCTCTAAAGTGATCAAGAGCAAAGATATCAGTTTGAGGACTAAGGTGTGACTGACTCAGCCTTAGTATTTTCAATCACTTCATATGCATGTGAAAGTTGGACAATGAATAAGGAAGACTGCAGAAGAATTGATGCATTTAAGTTATGGTGTTGGAGAAGAATGTTGAAAGCAACAAGGACTGCCAGAAGAATAAACATATCTGTATTAGAAGAAGTACAGCCAGAGTGCTCCTTAGAAGCAAGGCTGGGGAGGCTTCAGCTCTCATATTTTGGACATGTTATCAGGAAGGGACCAGTCCTTTGAGAATGGCATTATACTGGGTAAAATAGAGGGACTGTGAAAAGAGGAAGCCCCCCGCAACCCACCAAATAGATGGATTGCTACAGTGACAGCAGCAATTGGCTCAAGTGTAACAATTTTGAGGATGGCACAGGATCAAGCAGTGTTTTGTTCTGTTGTGCACAGGGTCAGAGCTGACTCAAGGGCACTTAACAACAACAATGGAGCCCTGGTGGGGTGCTGTAGGGTAAGCACTGGACTGATAACTGCCAGGGTCATTGGTTCAGATCCACAAGCTGCTCCTCAGAAAACGTATGTAGGGTCACTATGTGTTGGAACTGACTCCGTGGCACTTAACAGAGTAAGTAAGAATGCAGTCAATGGTAGTGGGTGGGTTTTATTAAATGACAGAGATTGGCAGATTGGGTTTTTAAGAAAGGACCCATCTATACAGGGTTGCTATGGGTCAGAATCAACTTGATGGCACTTAAAAAAAAACAAAAAACACACATATGCTTTCTACTACAAGAGTCTCCCTTTAGAAATAAAGGCACAAAGAGGTTGAAAGTGAAAGGCTGAAAAATAAAAAAAAATTCCAGGCAAATAGTAAGCAAAAGAGTATTGGGTTGTTATCAGACAAAATAGACCTTTAAAGGTTAACAGAGACAAAGAAGGACATTACATATTGATACAAGTTTCCATCCAGCATCCGTAACAACCAAACCAAAAGCCAAACCAAACTCCCGGCCATTGAGTTGATTCTAATTCACTGTGACCATTGAGAGCAGAGTAGAATAGCTCCTTAGCATTTCTGAGCCTGTAAACCTTTACAAGAGCAGGCAGCTTTACTTTCTCCTGCTGCAGAAGCTGGTGGGTTTGAACCACTGACCTTGAATTCAAAGTATGATTTCAAATCATTTAAAATTTACTAAGACTTGTTTCGTAGCCTAGCATAAGTCTGACCTACACAAATATTAACCCACTGCATCATCAGGATCCCTTTTCCTCACAACAGAACCTTTAAATATATGAAGCAAATATTAACAGATTTAAAGAGAAACAGTACCACAGTAATAACTGGAGACTTCAACATCCCACCTTAAATAATCAACAGGACAGACAGTAGATCAATAAGGAAATGGAGTATTTGAATAACATATTAACCAATTAGATTTAACAGACATATAAAAAACATGAGAGTTCTGGTGTGGATAAGCATTGGACTGCTTACCACAAAGCTAGAGTACAACCCAGGGTTGCAATGAGTTGGAATTGACTTGTTGGCACTTAACAACAACAATGGATACAAAACACACTACTCACCAACAGCAGAACACACAGTCTTCTCAAGTGTACACGGAACATTCTGTAGGCCAGACTCCACGTTAGGCTACAAAACGAGTCTTAGTACATTTTCAATGATTAAAATCATAAAGTAATTTTTTTCTTACCACAATGGAATAAAACTGAAATTCAACAACTGAAAGAAAAATAGAAAATTCCAAATATGTATAAATTAAACAACACACTCTTAAACAACCAACAGGTCAAAGAACAAATCGAAAGGGAAATCAGAAAAAACCTTGAGATGAATGAAAATGAAAACATCAAAATTTATGGAAAGGGCTGAGGAATTGTACCAACACTTGTTGTTGAATCAACCCTATAGGGCAGTGCTGAATTGCCTCATAGGATTTCCAAGGCTGCATATCTTTATGGAAGCAGACTGTCATATCTTCCTCCTGCACAGTGGCTGATAGGTTTGAACAGCTGATCTTTCAGTTAGCAACCAAGCACTTAACTACTGCACCACCAGGACTCCTGAAAGCAATACTAAAAGGGAGATTTGATTCATAACAGTAAATTCCTACATTAAAAAAAGTCTCAAATCAATAATCTAATCTAACAGATTAAGGAACTAAAAAAGAACAAGTTAAACCCAAAGGAAGGAAACAATAAAGATCAGTGTGAAGATAAGCAAAATAGAAAAAGATTGGAGAAATATCAGCAAAACCAAAAGTTGGTTCTTTGAAAAGAATCAGTGAAATTAACAAACCTTTACCTAGACTGACTGAAAAAAAAAGAGAGGAATGAAAGACGGCACTTCACAACAACAACATATCGTGATCAAGTGGAATTTATCATAAAAATGCAAGGGTGGTTCAACACATGAAAGTCAATCAATGTAATAGGTCGCATTAACAAAAAGAAGGGGGGAGGGACCAAACGATTATCTCAAATGATGCAGACAAAGCATTTGACACAATCCAATATCCTTTCATGATAAACAACACTCAAAAAATTATGAGTAGAAAAAAAATGTTCTCAACATGATAAAGGCTTTACATGAAAAAACACAGTTAACGTACTCAGTAGTAAAACACTGAAAAATTTTCCCCTAAGATCAGAAACAAAATGAGGAATTGACTTGATGGCACTTAACAACAACAACAGATACAAAACACACCACTCACCAACAGCAGAACTCACCTGCTTCTCCAGTGTACATGGAACATTCTGTAGGCCAGACTTATGTTAGGCTATGAAACAAGTCAGCAAATTTCAAATGATTTGAAATCATACAAAGCAATTTCTTCTCCACTTGTATTCAACATAGTATTGGAAATTCTAGCCAGAGCAATTAAGTAAGAAGAAGACATAAGAGACATACAAATTGAAAACCAAACCAAGGAGTCCTGGTGAGGCGCTGTGGGTTAATGTGCCAGACTGCAAAGCCGTCTGAACTGCAAGGTCAGTGGTTCAAGCTCACCAGCTGCTCCTCGGAAACCCTATACAGGGTCACTATGGGTCGGAATCAACTCGACGACACTTAACAACAACAATAACCAGTGAGCAAACCAAAAAGGAAATTAAGAAAACCATTCCATTTTCAATAGAATTCAAAAGAATAAAATATGGAAGGGTAAATTTAATTGAGGAGGTGGGAGACTTGTACACAGAAAATGACTAAATATTTCTTAAAGATAACCTAGGTAAATGGAAAGACACGGTGTGCATAAATTAGAAGACTTAATATTGTTAAGATGACAGTATTACTCAAAGAGATATACAGATACAATGCATTCTCTATCAAAAAACTATCTTAAAATCAACTTGGAATTTAAAGGAACTCTGTATGGTCAAAACAATATTGAAAAAGAAGAAAACTGAAGATGTATACTTCTTGATTTCAAAACTTAATATTACAAAGCTATAGCAATCAAAACAATGCAGAACTGGCAAAACAATAGATATATTTATAGACCAACTGAATAGAATAGAGAGCTCAGAAATAAACCCTCACATATGGATGGGGTCAATTGATGTTCAGCAAGTGTGCCAAGACTGTTCAGTGAGGGAAAGACAGTCTTTTCAACAAATGGTGCTGAGAAAACTGGATTGCCACAGGTAAAACAATGAAGGTGGAGTTTTACTGAATACAATACTTTAAAAAATCAATGCTGTAGATTTTTTTTTTTTTTTAAAGAATGAAGTTCTAATAGATGCTACAACATGGATGAATCTTGAAGACATTATACTAGGTGAAATAAGTCAGACACAAGAGGACAGGTATTATATGATTCCACATGTAAGACTCTGGAATAGGCAAATTCATAGAGACAGAAAGTAAACTAGAGGGGATTGTTGGCTAGAGGAAGGGGGTAATTATTGTGTAATAAATATAGAGTTCAAGTTTGAGATGATTTTAAAAACAAAGCAAATCGAGAAATGATAGCAATTAGGGTTACACAACACTGTGAAATGTACTGAACGCCACTGAATTGTACACTCACAAAGTAGTTAGAATGATCTATTTTGTTATGTATATTTTACTACACACAAAAAATAAATAAATAAAAAAGAGACTTCAGAAGTTCATGGAAACACTGAATTAATAGCTCAAAATAGAAAACATACACACTATTTCTCAATATAAGCTCCGTCAGAGTTAAGACATTTGTAAATGGGGATACCAGCCATGTAATCCATCCTTAAAGAACTGAGCGTTCTGTGAATTTAACTATGTCAGTGCACTCTTTTCTCCATTATTAAGTGAAGAAAAATGGGTGCCCTTTAAAGATTTTTAGAGTTGGAAACAAAAGGAAGTTGGTGTTGGTGGTGGTAGTGCACCATGGAGTCGGTTCCAACTCATAGAGACCCTAGAGGGTTTCCAAGGCTGTAAATCGTTACGGGAGCAGAAAGCCTCATCTTTCTCCCATGGACTGGCTGGTAGTTTCGAACTGCTGACCTTGAGGTTTGCAGCCCAACTCATAACACTATGCTACCAGAGCTCCTTCAAAAAGTAGTTAGAAGGCACCAAATCAGGACTGTAAGGTGGATTCCTGATGATTTTCCATAGAAACTCTTGCAAAATGACCCTTGTTTGATGAGAGGGGTGAGCAGGAACATTGTCAGGGTGGAGGAGGGCTCTCTGATGGAGCTTTCCTAAGCATTTTCTGCTTTGGCTTTCTTAAGACACTCGCATAATAAACAGATGTTATTGTTCTCTGGCCCTCCAGAAAATTAACAAGCAAAATGCCTTTTTGTTGTTGTAAGTGCCATTGAGTCGGTTCTGACCCATAGCAACAGTATATAGGGTTTCCAAGGAGCGGCTGGTGAGTTTGAACTGCCGACCTTGTGGTTCAAACCGACTTTGCAGTCAAGCACATTAACCCACAAAGCCTTAAGCATACCACGAAATTGTTGCTATGACCTTTGATCTTCACTGGTTTGCCTTTGCTTTGACTGGATCACTCCCACCTCTTGCTAGTCATTGCTTTGATTGTACTTTCTCTTTAGGATCGTACTGGTAAAACCACTTCACTGTTACAGTTCTTCCAAGAAATACTTTTGGAGTGACCCCACTTGTTTAAAATTTTCATTGAAAGCTCTGCTCTTGTCTGCAATCAATCTGAGCACAGCAGTTTTAGCACCCATCAACTTTCTGCTCAACTTTAACTTTTCAGTAGGGATAATTTAAAAGCTGAACCAACTGAGAGATCTATGATGTTGGCTATTGTCTCTGCTGTTCATCATCAGTCCTCTTCAATTAGGACACAGACAAGATTCATTTTTTCCTCAAAAATTGGTGTGGTTGAAGCTTCATCTTCAACATCATCTCATCCCTTCTTAAAACCTGTTATCCATTTGTAAACTACTGATTTCTTTGGTGGCACTGTCCCCATAAACTTTTCTTAAAAATAGCAATGATCTTAACATTCTTGCAACCAAACTTTGCCATACATTTTGATGTTTGTTCCTGTTTCAATTTGAGCAGGATTCATGTTGCTCTAATCGAGGCTCTTTTCAAACTGGTACCTTATCCTTCTTAGTGTCTCAAACTACTTCCTGTTCAGACATGCCATAACAAGTTAATATGAGTTTATTTTGGTGTAAAAAAAAGAACATTGAAATCCATGCATAGTTTTTTCCTAATATGCATTTTCCATGAACTTTTTGAAGATCTCCTCATATATAAAAAGTCTCAGTCATGACAGTGTACAAAGATTGTTTTGACTTTAAAATTTTTTATATTTAAGACAAAACTCCTTCTGTAAATTAGGAGGTCACACCTAGAAACAAGCGGAACACATCCCCGTATATTCTAGATTTGAAGGAGCTTCCTCCATTTCCAAAATGGTTTCTATGTTCCCGTCCATGGATTTTTCTTGTGGCTGATGTTTACCATTTGGGATTCCACCATTTAAGATTCATTCCTTTGAATATTCGTCCTTGTTTAAAATGCAAGAGCTATAGGTCAGATCCATGGAGCTGAGGTACAGTTCTAAGGGAGAAGCCTGGTGAAATGGCATTTGTGGTTGGTGGTGGAGAGTAGAATGCTCAGGACCAACCGCCCGTTTAGTGTTTTGCCATGAACCTGTGTGTCCTCAAGGACCTAGGTGTCACTAGTTTATAGGGTGTTTGGTCTCCCCAAACACTTAAGGCTTGGGGGAGGGGTCATCATACCGACCTACCAAAGCTGGGGCTAAACTGTTGGATTTGCCTCCCCCCTTCAGGTGGTCTGGGCCAAGACAGATAGGGTTGGCTGTGACTCTCACTTGTGTCCTAAACTCCAGAACGTTGAAGATTCCAATGTCCACTTTCTGGTTTGCAACTATGTGCCTCCGTGAGTGCTAAGCTGTACAGTACAGGCCAGGGGAGCCTTGGGGATGGGAGCGGGGTGGGGGTGGGGGGAGCGTAGATCTGATGGGGGTGGGAGTGGGGGTGGGGTGGGGGAATATTAAAAAGCACAGAGCTGAAGGAAGCAGGAGGGGGCCAATCTGGGGCTTACCCTGTGCTGTCATTGGTATTGGATCTGCTCTGGCCTAAGAGGACCCTGAAGATCCTAGAGAGCTAGTGGTGGGCAGGAAGCTGACTCAGGGTTCTCATATAGGTCTAGATTTGTACAGTGGGGTGGTGGGACTAGCAGAACATTCCCTCAGCACCCTCCTTCTTGCCTCTTGCAGGGGCAACGTGATTGGGCAGAAGCTCTATGAGGTGGGGCCACCGTGCTCCGCCTGCCCCTTGGGTTACCACTGTGAGCAGTCCCTCTGTGGTAAGTTGTGGGGAGGGAGAGTGCAGGGATACAGGCTGGACAGTGCTAGGCTCCCCAGCAACACTTGGGCCAGGGAGGGATCAGGCAGGACACAACTCTCCCAGTGCCCTTAGTCAATCCACCCAACCTGAACTCACCAGCACCACGTGCCCTTCTTTGAGCAACCACTATGGTGCCTTTATTCAAATTGACAGGATTTCAACCCTTGAAGGGTGATGGGTGAGTCTCACCGCGCCCCCAAGGGATGAGATGGGAGTGGTCTGAGGGGATATGATTGGTGGGAACTGTCAGGGGGCAAGGGGACAAGGCCAGGGATGCATTAGGTCATAAGAACACCTATAAAGGTGCAAATATGAGCAGAGAGAGGAAGACTTGGACAAGGATGGTGGATGGAGGGGCAACTATGTCAATAACAAACAGCCTTTATTCTGAATGAAAGGAAATGTTCGTGTGTGTGTGTGCGTGTGTGTCTCCCGGTAGGGCATCTGGTCACCTCACCTTGTTCGCAGTGAGTGAGAGATGTGGGATCCCACTTCCAGTACTAATGCCAGGCTTGTCTATCTCATCAGAACCCACCAGAGATCCAGAAGAGCCTCAGGATTTGCCTTACATGGTGACTGGGGCCCAGACCCCCCTGGCAACTGAAGCCTCTAGCTCTAGTGAAATGGGTGCCCCTTCTTCCCTAGCAACTGAGGCTCCATCCTTCTTGCTAACTGAGGTCTCAGCTTCCCTGGCAACCAAGGCTTTGCCTACTTTACAAACTGAGGTCCCATCTTCCTTAGCAACAAAAGATCCTCCTTCCATGGCAACAGAGACCCGATCTTCCTTAACAACAAATGATCCCTCCTTCATGGCAACAGAGGCCCTGCCTTTCTTAACTGAGGTCCCTTCTCTTTTGGAAACTCATGGGCTGTTCTCCTTGGATGAGAGGCCAGTCACCTTTCCCAAATCCACCCATACTCCCTTTTCCAAATCAGCAGACAAAGCAGCCAACAGGGCAAATGGTCCCTATGTGAATCCAGAAGAATCTCTATATTCCAAGATGTTCCTGATTGGCACACAGCAGCCTCTATCCCAAGCCCAGACTGAGGCAGGGGTTCCCCATGAGTTGCCTCCTCCCAGTGAGGTCTTGGTCTCAGTTTCCCCAACCCAAGATGAGGCAGCTGAGAAGCAGGTCACATTTATCCACGTGGGGCCCACCTCCTCCAGGTCCCTGCCCAACTCCCCCAACACCTCTACCACTGCTAATACGCTAGGTGGGCGCACCCTAGGTCTGCAGTCTACCGTGTCAGGTAAGGCCTGTGCTGTCTACTCCCTATGCTCCTGGCTACAGCATGTCTGCATTCTGTCCCCAGAACGGATAGTACCGGCTTGGTGGGAGCATGTACCCTCTGAGTAGGTGCCTCCTCCCTTGCTGCTGGGCTCCTTCCATGCATGGCTGATGCAGTGGGTGAGAGGTAAGCATAGCTGCCTCCAGGCTGAGGGAATGCCTCTTCCTTCCCACAGGTGCAGATCTCCCTGGAGGGTCTGTCACCGAGTCAGAGAACCTGAGCCCAACAGGCCCAAACCCAGCAGGGTTGAGCCCAGTGGGGCCGAGTCCAGCAAGGCCCAACCCGGCGAAGCCAAATCCAGCAGGGCCGAGTCCAGCAGGGCCAAGCCCGGCAGAGCCCAACCCAGCAATGCCGACTCCGGCAAGGCCCAACCCCAACCCAGCAATGCCGACTCCGGCAAGGCCCAACCCCAACCCAGCAATGCCGACTCCGGCAAGGCCCAACCCTGCTAAGCCAAATCCAACGGGGTCAATACCGGCAAGGCCAAACCCGGTGGAGCAGAACCCTTCACAGCCCAATCCGGCGGAACTGAACCCCTTGAGGCCAAACTGGGCAGAGCCGAACCCAGCATCGACAAGTCCTGAAGGCCCAAGCCTGGTAGGGCTGAACCCTGCAGAAGCAGGTTTAGAAGAGTTGACCCCGGAGGAGCCTGAAGAGTTGAACCCGGCAGAGCTAGAGGAGCAGAACCCCGAAGACCTAGAATTGCTAGAGCCGGACGAGCCCAAAATGGAGGAGCCGAACGCAGAAGACCCCAATGCAGAAGAACCGAATGCAGAATTGCCAAACGCAGAAGACCCCAACGCAGAAGAACCGAATGCAGAATTGCCAAACATAGAGGAACCTAATGCAGAAATGCCGAATGCAGAACATCCCAGTGCAGAAGACCCCAACGCAGAAGAAGCGCCTAAACCCACAAAGTGGAAACCCACTAAGCCAATGTTACACTTAAAGCCCTTCAAGGTTAATTCTGCCACTCGTTGTGTCTGGAGCCCCTTCCTGGGACTGCTGCTACTACTACCCCTGGTGTTGACTGGAATCTTCTGAGGCCCCGCCATTCAAAGGCAAGGCCTGGTGGGGGAACCCTGGCCTCATGCCCACTCTGGATTGTTTTTCTCAAAGTGAGAGGCCACAGCTCCCTGGACAGATTCTGATTGTGGCCCAGCAGCCCTCTTTCACCCCAGCTTCTGCCTAGACCCGAAGCCAGCCCCGTCGTCTCCTCAGGAGACCTTTGCATTGCCAATCTCTGGCAGCACTACCCCACGAATGCCCTGCTTCTCCCGTCCCTGGAGAGGCTCACCTCTCAGCTGGCTACAGACTCTTCTGAGAGGTGTTCCTGTAGTCACATGTACCCCTTCTCCAATTGTCTGAAGCCACAGGCCTGCTCGCAGACACACAGGATCTCAGGGCTTCCCAGGAACCCCTGGCTGCTTCCTCCAGGAGGGCCTCCTGCTTTCCCAGGTGAAAGAGATCAGCGATCCTTCTGCCAGCTGCCTCACCCTGTCCTTTTCAGCTGAAGGCCCTCTGGAAGGGAAACACTGTGGGGCACGTGCCTCCTCCACAGACCTCCTGGAGGCGGAAGGCCAGGCTGATAGTGAGTGCCAGGAACAAACTGATGGCTGCAGCTGGCCTGGACTTCTCCTGCCCCTCCCACCTCTCTCGTGGGAATTCTAGTTAACCCTGCCTGCCAGCCTACACCAGGCAGGGGGCTCAGGCTCAGTGCCCCGCCTCCCTACTTGCCTATGTAGCTGGGGAAAGAAACTGTGAGGGAGATGATGGACAAGCCCCACCTAAGTGGGGTTCTATGGGTGGAGAAGGCAGGCATCAGGAAAGGGAAGCAACCCGACTCCTGAATAAACGCCTGTCTAAGGGTATCTAGAGTCTGTCTTGTGACGGGGTGGGAGGCAAAGAGGGATCAATTTGTCCCCCACCAACCTATGGTAGCATAGTAGTTACAAATCGGGCTGTGAACTGCAAGGTCAGCAGTTCGAAACTACCAGCTGTTCTGCAGGAGAAAGATGAGGCTTTCTGCTCCCGTAAAGATTTGCAGCCTCACAAACCCTGTTCAGGGTCCCTATGAGTAGGAACCGACTCCACGGCACATAACCACCAACCTATGGTAACCAGTCCTTCACACCTCCACTCCCAAACACACAACAAATTATACACTTTGTATCATTACAATGATCGCAATCCCTTCCATGTACCACATGTTAATAGTATTTACCACTGTTCACACTTATAGTCCTGTCTTCCACGCCGTTCATCTTTCCTGTGCCAATCGCCCTCTTGTTGTACGTTGCCATCACTCAAGTTAACATGTGCCTACCCTCTATTCCCAAGGGAGAAAGATGAGGCTTGCTGCTCCCTCTGAGATTTAAAGCCTCAGAAACCCACTACAGAGTCACTGTAAGTTTGACTCTCCCCGTCACTTTAACCACCACCACCAGTGAATAAATTTCCCTCCCCTTCCACTCCTGGTAACCATCAGAGTATTTCTTTTAGCAAGAAAACCTTACCTTTTCACAACAGCAGTCTCATACAATACTTGTCCTTTTGTGATTGTCTAATTTCACTTAGTATAATGTCCTCCAGGCTCATTCTTATGAGGTATTTCACAAGCATCATTATTCTTCAATATTGCATAGTGTTCCGCTGTATGTATGTATCAAAGTTGAACTATTCTTCTGTTGATGCATTTAGGCTGTCTCCATCTTGCTATAGTGAATAGCACTGCAATGAACATGGGACAGACCCACCTCTTAAGGGTACCTACCATTCCCTTCCTTTCTATAAATTGTCCCCATCTCCAAATCTTCAGGCCTCCTTCACTTTCCTCTTTATACCCAGGAGCAGGTGTGGGGGTGGGGTGGAGGTCGAGGAGGTGTAGGGCTGACTCTCCCAGCTTCAGAAGTCACCACTTGGGTAGAAGCACACTCCAGTCTCAGAATCAAGATATGGCATACCACTGCTTCACAGAGATGTCCCTGCCCAGGCCATCTGGGAGACAAAAGTCAGAAATGAATCTCAGGCACAACTGTGCCAAACCCTGATGATTGAAGAGTTTGGAGAAAGGGCTCTGGAGTTGTAGCCCTCCCCAGGGGAGCAGAGCAGACTTGTCCAGGAGTGCTGCGGGGCAGGAAAGCACAAATGCAGCAGGGTGGAAGGAGCAATGATGGAGAGGCTTGGGACCAAGGTGGGGAGAGGTACAGCAAACTGTCTCCAGGCAAAGTATGAAGGTGAGCAGCTAAAGAAGAAACCAAATCAGGCCAGATCTGTGTCCTGGTAACCAAGATGGCCACTTCCCTATCTCCTCACCCCAACCGGTGTGGAATTTAGTTCCTTGATCAACAATGGGCCTAGCAAAGATGAATTAGCCAAGGTTGAGACATTTCTAATGAAACACTGGTAGCACAGTAGTGGTTACAAGTCAGGCTGCTAACCTCAAGGTCAGCAGTTCGAAACTTCCAGCTGTTACTCAGGAGAAAGATGGGACTTTCTGCTCCCGTAAACAGTTACAGCCTCAGAAACTTTATACAAGGTCACTATGAGTCAGAACCAACTCCACAGTACACAACCTGGACCACCACTACCACCGCTAGTTTTAAAAGGCCATGACATTGTGATAGAAATTAACATTTACATAAACAAAATATTCAATATGGCCTGCAACTATAAAATGAATGTAGTAGGACAGCAAGAAGGCTTGTGTACATTTGACACCTGATCATTTTTCTCCAGATAAGGGCCAACAAGTCACAACAGTGCAATCAATAGGTAGAGGATAAAAACCCACACCAAACAGGTCCGGAAAATACTAACCAGGACGAGAGAGCAATATTGTAGGGTTTGTTTTCATCACCTGGAGCGTGTGGGGTTTCCACAGGTGTGAGATCTTGACCTGTTGCGTGAATGCCATTTATTTTGACAGTGCCGCTTGTGCTTTTGGTGTGATATTTATTACTGCATAACTGAAGGTCATGAAGAATTACCTGTGTTCTAATAGTTTTAACTCTTAAATCTAGGTCTTTGATTCAATTTGAGTGACACTTTTATGTGTTGCAAGGTAGAAGTCCAACTTCATTCTTGTGCTTGTGAATACCCAGTTGTCTTTACACCCTTTGCTCAAAGGAGTCCCATTTAATTTGATTCCCTTGTCAAAATCAATTAGACATAAATGAAAAGATTTGTTTTTAGATCCTCAGTTCTATTCTACTGATCCATGTCTATCCTATGTCAGTACCATGCTGTTTTGATTACTGTAGCTTTGTAATAAGTTTTTAAATTTGCAAGTATGGGTTAGTTCTCCTTTTTCAAGATTGTCTTGGCTAGTCTGGGTTCCTCAGATCTCCATTTGAATTTTAGGACCAGTTTGTTAGTTTCTACAAAGAAGTCAGCTGGGATTTTTATAGAGATTGCATTGACTCTGCCATCCTAACAATATTGTCTTCTAATCCATGAATATGGGATGTCTTTCTACTTGTTGTTATTGTTAGGTGCTATTGAGTCGGTTACTGACTCATAGCAACAACCCTAAGCACAACAGAACAAACCACCGCCAGGGTCTGCACCAACCTTGCAATCGTTGCTATGCTTGAGCCCATCGCTTCCACACTGTGCCAACCCATCTTGTTGGGGGTCTTCCTCTTTTTCTCCGATCCGCCCCCTTACCAAACATGGTGTCCTTCTCCAGTGACTGGTCCCTCCTGATAATCTGTCGGAAGTATCAGAGATGAAGTCTGGCCATCCTGGCTTCAAAGGAGCACTCTGGCTGTACTTCTTCCAACACAGACCTGTTTGTGTTTTGGTAGTCCATGGTACTTTCAATATTCTCTTTCAATACCATAACTCAAATATCAATTCTTCTAAGGTCTTCCTTATTCAGTGTCCAACTTCCGCATGCTTATGAGGTTATTGAAAATACCATGGCTTGAGTCAGGAGCACCATAACTCTCAAACTTACATCTTTGCTCTTCAACACCTCTACTTACTTAGGATATGCCTTAAATTCTTCCAAGGAGCTCTGGAGGCATAGTTGTTATGAGTCAGGCTGCTAAACTCAAGCTCAGCAGTTTGAACTACCAGCCGTTGCATGGGAGAAAGATGAGGCTTTCTGCTCCGGTAAAGATTTGCAACTTCGGATATCCGGCTCCACAGCATACCACCACCACCACCATTTATTTCTCCCAGCAATGTTTTCAGTTTTTAGAGTATGATTTTTGCAATTCTTTTAAGTATTTTTTTGATGTTTTAAATGAAATTTTTTAAATTTCATTTTTTGTTCTCTGATACTTTATAGAAATTCAACTAATATTTCAAATTGATCTTCTATCCTGCAACCTTGCTGAACTCATAGATTATAATTTTTTTTATTTTTCAGCACTTTGTTTAGAATTTTGTCTATACAATGTAGATCATGTCATTTGCAAGTTTTGCTTTTCATTTTTTCAGACCAGATGCTTTTTTTCCCCCCCTAAAAAATTCTATACTTTTCCTTGAGTGCAATGTTGATTGGAAGTAGTGAAGCAAACATTCCTTGTTTTTTATTTTAGTGGGAGCATCCAGTCTTTTGCCATGAAATACGATGTTAGCTGTGTTTTTCTTTTTCGTAGATGCTTTTTATCAGGTTAACGTCCTTCTATCCCTACTTGAATGTTTTTATGTTAAAGGGGTGAATTTAAAATAAAAAAAACTTACTGTGAATTGAATGAAAGTATGCAGATCAGTCCCACATTCAACAAATCATACACTACATGTCATTATAGTGATTGCAATCCCGTCCATGTACCATCAGTTAACAGTATTTACCTCTAGTCACATTAACTATTAATCTTCCACTACCTTCATCTTTCCTGTGCTGACCTCCCTCTTGTTATATATTGCCTTCCCAATCACCCAAGTTAACATGTGTCTACCCTCTACCCAATAATTTTCCCTTCCTTCCTACTCCTGGTGACCATTATAGAATGTTCCTTTTGGCAAGAAAACTTTTAGCTTTTTACAACAGTGGTCACATACAAAAATTGTCCTTTAGTGATGGACTAATTTCAGTCAGCATAATGTCCTCCAGGTACATCTATGTTATGAGGGGTTTCACAGGATTCGTTATTCTTTAACACTGTGTATATGTTATTGAAAAAGTGAATTTTGTCAAATGATCTTGTGTCATTTGACATAATCGTGTGTTTTGCCCATTATTAAGGGTGTTAAACCTTGACATCAGATTTTAAACCAGTCTTGTATTGTCGGGGGGAGATGGTCACTCCATTTTGGGGCCTCAATTTTCTCTAGTTCTCCAAGAGGTCGTATGTGATGGCCCCTGGGGAGAGCAAGACCTGTGGAGGTCCAGCCCCAACTTTCCTGATTTGGGAGTAGGTTCTCCCTGCTTCTTCAAAGCAGAAGCCCCTGTGGCCAGCCATGAGGAAACCAGCCACAAGAGAGAACCTATCCAAGACCAGAAGCCAGAACCTCTTTGAAAACGCAATTAACAGGTCATGGTGTCCCACACCAGTCAGGCTAGGTATGACAAATGGCCAGGGAGGGGATGTGAGAGACTGAGAAGCGGGCTAGCACTCCAAGGCCTTGAGGATCAGAGCGGGGCGGAGTCTTTCCAGCATAATGCCACTGCCACATGGCTCCCAGTCATCTGGGGACTGGCACAGCGACAGGGCTACTGCAGGGGCTCAGCAAAGGCCAGCACAGCCACACTCGGCTTCAGCTCAACACTGACCAAAAGGCTGTCTTCATGGACTACTTGTTGCTGGCATATTTTCAAATTCAGAAAATCACCCAATATTTCCCCCCAAGTCTGATCTAAGGGAAGCCCAGATGCTTACCTCCGGTCCTGTGACTTTACAGCCCCTCTCACACGAACACGACGCGCCAGACGGACTCTGTGGATGGTTTTTTGAAGCTCACAAAGAGAAGAGCCTTCCCACAAAATTCCAAATCACCACAGAACATTTATTTGAGAGAAAAGGAATCCGATCTTATGATAAATTTTTAAACTGAGTAGAACCAGAGACACTGATCGACATGACTGCTGGGTGCTCATGACGACCACGCAGGGAACCAGATCCCTCATGTGTAGGGTCACCGTTAAAAGGACGAGCATTAGACGAGGGGGGACACACTCTGAACAGTTACATGATTTCCCATTCAAAGAGAGTGCTGCTCTCCTATCAGAAAAGTAGTGTTGAGAAAAATGGAGGCAGAACCTAGCCTCCTAGCACAAGCCTGGACACGATGTGGCCATGTGAGAGGGCCCACGCCCTATTTACAAAGCAGGAGTAAGGCTACCAGGCTAAGGGGCAGGATAGACGCTGGGCAGACTTGGGTATGAGTAGGGAGGTGAGGGTGGAGGTTCCGATCTAACCCTGTTCGTCTTTCCCTTTCTAACTGGGGCATCCACCAGCTGTCCTCCAGGCCCTGTACCAGGCAGACTTAGCTAATCTGGGAAGGGGAATCAGACCCGATTCCTCAATCTCACCTCACTTTCTGTAGGTATAATCGCGATCCAATCCACTGGGTGCAGTGCCACCCCCATCCCGCCCCCACCTCTGGACAGACACATGGCAAATATGGAAAGTGAAGCCCGGCTGGGCTAGAGCACATCTAGGTGTTGTTGGGTTGGAGTCATTTTATCTTGCAGGTGCCCCGAGATGAGCAGGTCTCACCCACGTAGCCAGCCTGAGACAGCACGGTTTTTGTTTTGTTTTACGAGTGATTCAGATTACTCGAGGGCAAAGCATGATCCTGATGACACCCGGCGGAAAAGCAGGCTGGAGCCACGGAAGAGCTGGCCCTGGTGTGGAAGGAACAGTGGGGTCGGTGAAAGGGGAGATGCTCCAAGACCCTGGAGTAGGTGGGGCTGTGGGCTTATACCCCTGGAGGGCAAGATTCGAATCTGTCTGGTATCATAAAGCTCCTCAATGTCCAGTTTCCTATTCAGTAGGAAATCCTCAAGAGGAGGCTCACTGGCCTTATGGCTTCAGAGCCCGAGTAGTCTGGGTGCAGCCAACTACATGGAGAGGGGCAGGGATGGGATGTATGGTGAAATGGCCAGAGTTAATGGGAAGAACTGAGATTGTCTCTTGCCTCCCATCCACCTGCTTCTTAACCTTGAGGCCAGTGAGCCTTGGGGTACCTTCCCAGGCCACTGCCTCATTAGACTACAAGTCGAGCCACAGTCAGAAAAGGACAAGGATCAGTCCATGACCAGCCCTGATCCCTGACCACTGGACCTGAGCGCTCCCACCAGCAGGAGAGTGCTGTGGGATAGAACTCAAGAGCCCTAAGACTGGCACCTTTGTTCGGCTTACCATATGCCCAGTTCAATCCCTAGGCTCTCCTGGGCCCCTAGGATGTCCTATAGGGGCGTGAGTCAGTCTCCAACATGCCTACTACCCTAACAACCCAGAGAATTGCACTGAACTAGTCTCAGACCTTGCACTTTCAGCCTCTGTTACTTTGGTGATAGGAAGTTCTTCGGTTTAATCACCTACTACATGGGCCAATAAGGAGCTCTGGTAACGTAGTGGTTACGAATCGGGCTGCAAACCGCAAGGTCAGCAGTTTGAAACTACCAGCTGTTCCTTCGGAGAAAGATAGGCTTTCTGCTTCCGTAAAGATGTACAGCCTCAGAAACCCTGTACAGGGTCGTTATGAGTCAGAACAGACTCCATGGCACATAACCACCACCATCATATGGGCCAACATATCTTTATATTATCTTAAGTGTTTAAGACTCAGAGTAAAAAAGGAGACCCTGTCTAATGCATAATGTTTAAGAAAGCTCAGCTTTAACTACCTCAAACCCTTTCTGAAATAAGCTAAGTTGAACACTCCGTTGCCTTATGAGACCTCATTCTCTGCTCACCCCACTCACCCCATTTATAGACTCCACAACCCTTTACCTTCTATACACTGAGACTCCACAAACCACTTCATCTGACCAATGTAGTGGGAAAACTATGAAGGCCCCCTCCCTCCAGAGCTTGCTTACCTGCATGCTCAGATACTTCCAGCAGTGGATCCAGGACTTGAACACTGGGGAGTAAGGGGGCATTCCGGCCTGTAGCCTGCCCAGGAAGAAGAGTACGCATCAGACCCAGAGGACTGTGGGTGACGGATCAGCCACAAGGCAAAGGAGGCCTCAAGAAGGAATGGCTTGGAGCTGCCACCACATCCTAAAACCAAAAATTCACCCCAAAGGGGCTAGTATATCCCAGAGAAGCCCACACACAGACTGAGATGGAGAGGGACCAAACTCTGGAAGGGTTCGGCTGGTGCCCTAGAGACCTTGCAGGATGCCAAGTGAGGGGAGGGGCACACCTACCCACAGTTGTTCACAGCCATGAGATCACCAACTAGCAGGAAGGGGTAGGTCAGCATGCTGACTGCAATCTGAAAGCAGAGGTCAGAGTTCAGCTGAGTCTCACCTCCCACTAGCCCCCCATTGGAGCCCAAGGAGCAGGGACTCACTGTACCAACACCCTACATTTAGGCTTGCCTCCACCCACCACCAAAGCATGCCTCCCAAGCCCCACCCAGGCCAACAGGGCAGTGGAAAGGGAAGCTGGCTCCACTTACTCCCATCACAAACTTGGTATAGCTCCGGATGGCCAGGGCCTGGCTGAACTGAAGGGACAGAAAGGAAGACTTGTTTTCCACAGGCCCCTGGGGATGAAGACTCTAGATGTGCGGTCCTAGCCCTGTCCTGCACTCCAGATTGGCCTCACAGCTCAGTTCCGCTCAGTTCCACACACACGCACACCTGCGCTCCTTTACAGGGCCTAGCAGTCAGTGCCTTAACAGACCAGGCAGCAGATACCGGGATAGAGGGGACCTCTGGGACCCAGGTGGTGATGGTTAGGTAGGGACGTGAGGAGACCAGGTAAACAGGGTCACTGGCTGTTGGACTGCATGTAACCCCAGAGGACAGGGGGTGAGGGGGCTCTAGGGCTTGGCTGGTGTCTGTCTTAATCAATGCCCAGTGCTTACACATATACCCCCTAGTTACCCAGAGGACAGAATCCTGGCCCTGTGGTCAAGGCAAGCAGAAACTCAGGGCTTTCTGCCCTCCCCCACCGCTCCAAGCTCTCTCCCCTTCAGACACCAACTCCTGAAATTCTGCTTTGCCCAGGAGACAGTCCTGACGAGTACAGGTGACCGCCCCAGGGGAGGCGTGCTCAGCTCTCTGCCTGAGCAGCTCTGGCAAGCCACGCAGCCCCATCTTAAGCTGCACACAGAAAAGCACTTGAAAAATGCTTTCAATAAAGCTGTTGACTGCTTAGTGCTGACGGCAGTGCAGCAGCCCCTGGGCAAACACCTGCCCACCCACACCAGAGGAAACCAATCAGTTGTAGTTACTACCCTTCCCCCTTACCGCCCCACCCCCACCCGTCTCAGCCTTGCTCTGGGAGCAAAGGTAACAACTCACCATCCCCAAGGCTCCCTGGAAAGGACCGAACCCAGGGCATGTGCTACCTAATGGCTGATGAAGCGGGAGCCACTGAAATCTGCTTACATGGCAGGCCAGGAAGTCGCCTTCCTAAGCAAGCTAGGTACTCACAGTTGTCTGGAAAGCAGAGGTTCTCAGCTGGTGGGGAGCGTTCTACCACAGAGATTCAGGCCCAGACACCCTCCTCCCTCCTCATCATGCACATCTGGGGCACAGACACAGACACGCGGACAATGAAAGCCCCCTAGCTGATTCTGACACACAGGTCCCCAGACCCCTCACCTAGCCTCCTGGGGTTGACCACCACCTCTGAAACTGTCTAGCTACCAGGAATCCTCCAGCCCATGACTGCTCCTTAACCCCATCCTGGTCCCCAATGTCTTTCTTCAACAAGTGCCTTTTAGATGGACTTGTGCCCTCCCTGTGCCTGACCCAACCTGTGGAAAGGTCCCTGTGGACTAGGCTGTGCAGACATGGAATGTCTACTTCCTGTTGTTGCTAGGTGCCATCGAGTCATAGCAACCTTATACACAACAAAATGAAACATTGCCTGGTCCTGTGTCTACTTCCTACAGACTATTTGAAAAAACTGAAGAGGTGAAAAACGCTGGCCTCAATCCTGCCAAGTTCCAGCAGAGGGGCTGTGTTAAAAGTTTAGCCTTTAAAGTCAGGGGCCTCACTTTCTATTCTGTGAAACTGGGACATTCTACCTGCCTGATTCCTGTCACCAGGAGCACTGGGTGGTGCAGTGGGTTAAGCACTGGGCTGCTAACTGAAAGACCAGCAGTTCACACCCACTAGCTCCTCTGCCAGAGAAAGATGTGGCAGCCAGCTTTCATAAAGACTTACAGCCTTGAAAACCTTATGGTTTGGGGTTAAAAAACTGTCCTACAGAGTTGCTATGAACTGGAATCTACTTGGTGGCAGTGGGTTTGGTTTATTCCCTTCACCAGAAAATCTGGTGGCTCAGTGGTTAAGCACTGGGCTGCTAATAGAAAGGTTAGTGGTTCAAACCCACCAGCTGCTTCTTGGGAGAATGATGTGGCCCTCTGCTTCCATAGAGACTGAAAGCACTGGAAACGCTATGGGGGCAGTTCTCCTCTGTCGTATGTACAGGCTGCTATGAGTCAGAGTCAACTCGATGGCAGTTGGTTTGGTTTTCATTCCCTTCACCACCAAGATGCTACAAGGATCAATTACCACTGTGTTCAAAAAAAGCTTTGGGAAAGCATGCCAACATCCAACAAAGGAAACGGCATTACAGTCATGAGCTGGTCCATCTCCTGATGGCTAGCTGGGTCACACCGTCTTAAACTAGTCTCGGACTGGCTGGGGTCTGCTTTAGTTCTAAAACTGCTCAGAGGCAGGCATTCTCCCAGGTCTGGTTGTTGTTGTTAAGTGCCCTTGAGTCAGTTCTGACTCATAGCGATTCTGTATTGGGTTTCTGAGGAGTGCATGGTGGGATTGAACCTCCAATCTGTGGTTAGCAGTCCACTGCTTATCCTACAGAGCCATGCCAGTATCCCAAGTCTGGTTAGCAGTCTGGAATCTCATCTTTCCTGTTCTGTCTCCCGAGGCAAAGCTAACTTTTTCTTCTCAGACCACTCCCAGACCCTGCAGCTCAGCATTCCAGAGGCCTCAAATCTCTGCCCCAGACCCTGGGCGTCAGCAGAACATGGAAATATGGACAAGTCCTTGTTCCAACCAACCTGGGAACCTGGATTCTGGTCGTTTCCCAGCCCCCCTGGGGTGTCACTCACGCTGTCATCCACCAGGTAGGCATTGATGAAATGGGCCAGCAGGTTACAGCCCCACAAGAAAACCACATCTCCCAGGAGGTGAGGGATTAAGCCACTAAAAAAACAAGGTGAGCAAAGTGAGCAGGCAAGGGAGTGGGGAACACTACCTGGGGGTGCCACATGTAGGTTACAAGCTGGGCCAGTCGAAGTTCCATAACTCAGCAGACCCAAGGATGGAAGCCTTTATGTCACGTGGGTAGCTCTTATCCATACCTGAAAGGTATAGGGTTCCTTCTCCCATGGGGAGGTGGTATCTGCCACTTCTGAGACCACAGATTAGTTTATGGCAGTTTTTGAACCCCAAACCAAACCCCAGAATCTGGACAATTAATGTTGCCAAATCTGGGGTAGTCAAATGTAGATTGAATGAATGCCTACGTACTAGCAGTCTTCCCCGGCCTCTTTATCTGACCACCTCTCATGAAGCAACCTTTGCTCACAGCATGTCTTCCCCTCACCTCTGCAGTGTTCCATTGAGGACATCCATGCAAGTGCTGGCAAGGAAGGCAGAATATTAAAGAGGTGGTCTTTAGAATGAATACTCAATGAACCATATGCCCCTTCCCACTATTGTAAAATAGACATTTAAGTATGATAGAAATGTATATTGGGAATTATGATTACAGAAAGCTTATAACCTTGTCTTCAGCCTATAACTAACTAAAAGAAGAATTAGCATTTGCTCAGGGAAATTGGTTTCTTGTTAAGCCTTTGTGGAATATGGGGCCTTACGTGGAATCCTGAGCTCCACCCAGAACCTTCTGAGGTGGAACATTCCCACTTGAAAAGACATGCAGACCAACCCGGAATGGCTAGAAGAGAAGACACTTCTTGAAAGAAAGACCAGCGGTGGGGAAAAAACAGCAGACTGTTTGGCTATGACAATATCAAGCAAGCTATTGACCTTGGAGCCATCAAGGCAAGAAGAGTCAGGCCATCAGGGAAAACCCCCTTTTAAGACTGAAACTCGAGTATGCTCACTGGTGACCAGTCTGGTCTACTTGTGAGCAGAAGTAGGGGGAATGCAGCAATGAAGACATGGGCTGAGTTTGGCCATGTTCTATTGACACCTGTTGACCTTGAGATGAGAGAGAAGAGGAAGGGCTGGCTGGTCTGAAGTTTAGGGAGACGTGTGAACTCCCAAGCCCCACTGAATAGTCTTCCTCTTTCTCAGATGGATCTGGTAAAAGGGGATGGTGATAGGATTTTATGAGTCGATTGTAACTGTTAGCATGATTAACCATGATTATCACAAATGTAATTGTAAAAGATATGTAATTAAAAGGGGGAGTAGTTAATCTTTCATTTCAGAAACAGAGGACCCCAGGACCATCAAGAAGGAAGAGCACGAGTGGAGTGTGAGATCCAACCAAGAAAAGCAGTGCCAGCCGAGACAGTGGCAGAGGCAATGGCATGGAGAGACAGAGCAGCTGAGGACTCTAGGCCCGTGGACTGAGAAAGGCTATGTGCTTGTGAGCAGGAGGCTGGCTAGTAAAGTGTGCCCTTTGGATGTTTAAAATAAATACATACTTTAAGTTTTGTATGTGTACCTCAAATATTTTTGCTTTGTTCATTTGTGAAAAATAAGATATAAAAGATAAGTCACAGGGTGTAACTTTTGGTAGTTTGATGATGCATGGAGAGGATTGTAATCATCGCAATGAAATGAAATAAGATAAGGATGAATGTAAAGCTGGTATTCTCCCATGTAAACTCACATAATTCACAATAAAATAAAATAAAAAAAAGAAGAGAAGCCACAGGGTGGGAGCAGGGTAACTGTTGTCACAGAGAGAGGATTGTAATCATTAAGATGAAATAAAATATATGATTGGTTGAAAGTTAAAAAAACAAAACAAAAAACCCCACATGGAAGGTTCCCCAGAATACAGCACTGAAGGCCAGGGCTGGTCCAAAGAGTGGTTACCATTTGCAGCCTGTGTTTACTTGCTTGTTTAGGTGTGGAGTGCCTTGGAAAGATCCTGAGAAGACACTAGCTGTCTCCTGGGAGTGGGATGTGTAATTCTTTTTGCCTTCTGAGAAAATCTTAATATTCTTTTTGCCTTCTGAGAAAATCTTAATATAAAATGTTTGAGAAGTTCAAAAAGACTGTGAATATCCATCATGTTGTGATGGCTATTAGTAAAATGAACCTCCACGAGTACATTCCCAATCCTGTGGCTTCCACCTGTGTGCTTTTAACATGTACATGTATCCTGTCTCAAAAGCCCGGGGCGGGGAGGAACCCAGTGGATGAGCATCTGCTATGTGAGACTCCTAGTAACACCCAGAGTAGAATTGCATCGTGTATAAAATACCAGAAGTGGTGAGCTGTAATGTTTTCAGGTCTGATATACTAGATACAGGCACATGGGTAAATATTCTTACGTATTTGTATATGTAAAGAGGCCTGGGGTTAATGGTTAAGCACCCTGTTGGTGGTTTGAACCCACCCAAGGGTTTTGTGGGAGAAAAGATCTGGTAATCTGCTCCCGTAAAGATTGTTGCTGTTAGGTGCCACAGAGTCAGTACCAACTCATAGCAACCCTATGCATAACAGAACGAAACACTGCCCGTCCAGGGCCAACCTCACAATTGTTGTCATGCTTGAGACCACTGATGCTGCCACTTGGCCAATCCATCTTGCTGAGGGTCTTCCTCTTTTTCTCTGACCTTCTACCTTACCAAACATGATATCTTTCTCCAGTGACTGGTCCCTCCTGACAATATGTCTGAAGTATGAGAGACAAAATCTGGCCATCCTGGCTTCCAAGAAGCACTCTAGCTGCACTTCTTCCAATATAGATCTATTTGTTCTTTAGGTAGCCCATGGCACTTTTAATATTCTCCAACACCTTAACTCAAATGCATCAATTCTTCTACAGTCTTCCTTACTCACTGTCCAACTTTTGCCTCACAGGCTAGGAAAACACTATGGGACAGTTCTACTCTGGTTTTTAGGGTTGATATGAGGAATTAGTTTGATGGCACACAACAACAACATTGGGTCATGATAGGTCCTTGGATGGTCCAAACAATTTGTACTTTGTACTTGAATACTAGCCTACAAGTTTGTGGTTCAAACCCATCCAGCACCTTCTTGGGAGAAAGATCTAATAATCTGTTCCTGAAAAGATTATAGCCTAGAAAACCAGAGGAGGCAGCTCTACTCTGTCACACTGGGTCACTCACTAAGAGTTGAAATCAACTCTCTGGTACCTAAAAAAGATTTATGTACACATATAGTATGTGTGTGTGTACATGTATATGAATTAGGGCTTTCTAACCTTGGTATCATTGATATTTGGGGACAGATATGTCACTGTTGCAGTGGCTGTCCTGTGCACTGAAGAATGTTTAGTTAGCAGCATCCTTGGTTTCTACCCAACAGATGCCAGCAGTTACTTCTCATCCTGAGTTGTGACAATTGAAACCATCTCCAGGCACTACCAAATGTCCCCTGTGGGGCAACATCACCTCTCACTGAAAATTACTACACACACACACTCACGTAGTATTTCTCGGTTAAATAAGGCATCCATCGTACATAAAAACATCTGACAAACTGTAAAACCACAATATATATATATATGTGGAGCTCAATGTCTAGCATACCCCTAGCATATTACCACGCAATGTCACATTCTAGACCAGAGAAAAGGCAAAACAAAAAGCAAAAACACCCCACACTTTGTCAGACTCAGCTTCTGGGCTCTATTCAGACACAGAAATCTAAACACAGTCCTCTGAGAATAAGCATCCTTTAGACTAGAGACAACCAGGAGTGTGGGGCCTGTGGCCACTGGAAGACCATGTGCTCTATCAATGGGAGCAAACCCTTGTCCCCAGCCCATGGCTATTCTGCAGAAACACATGCCCAGCAGTTCTGACTTTGCAAGAAAAGTCAGAAGTATGGATTTTTGTGGGAAATATCTGAAATGTTAAATGTTAACAAAAAGTTGTCAGAAACATGAAGAGCCTGGAGGTGACCTGTGGGTTGTCAACGATCAGTGCTCAGTTAAGAACACATATATTCAGCCCTTATTTATTAGTAAAATCAGAGGTTCTACAGTAACCCGCTCCTGAAGACCAGCCCCACAGCTATCCCACCCTGGATGGAATAGGCTGGGCCTGGCAAAGCAGGTCAGTCCATCTTCTGGTGTCCTTTTTAGGAGGGCCATGACCCTAATGTTCTGGACCTGGGACATGCGTGGAGCAACGTGAGCTGATGAGCAGCTGTGGTTAGTCTGAAGCCAGCAGTTACAGCCTAAGAGGCTGACATTGCACCTACTAGGAGAGCCAGGCCCCATGGCTGAGTGTGGGGCTATAGACTCACGTACACGAAGAATCCAAGCAGCCCTTCCTCTTTGAAAATCTTCCCAATGGAACTCAGCACACCGCTGCAAAGATAGGAACACAAGGTCAGCACAAGGTCACCTGAAGCAGAGCCCACCACCCCACTCAGAGTGCCCCATCATCCCCTCCAGTCCTGGTCAGGATGAGGAGGGGAGATTCAGTGACCAGGAAGAGCCTACATGGAGAAGAACAGAGAGCTCTTGCTTGGGGTGAGAGGGAGTCTACACAGTTCTTGGAGACTGGGGGAAACTCAAGAAGCCAAGGGACAGAAGGTCTAGCAGTTCTCCACCATTGTTTTCTGTCATAGGAAGGAACCTTCCCATAGGGGCTACTGCACAGGAAGCAGGCCTTCTCTGGCCTAGCTGAAGCACTCATCTGTGGCTAAACCACCTTCCAGCTGCAGAGAAGCTTGGGTGTCGGCAGTGAAAAGGAAAAGGGGTGATGAGTGGAAACACCATGTTCCGAGTGGGCAGAAGAGCGCAAGCCTCTGTGGCACACAGCCCTGGAATCAGGCCTCCCAGAGGAGCCTGGGAAATGGTGGCTGGCCTTCCCAGCAGGGAGCTGGCAGCCAGGCCACTGCAGCCTGCGAGAGACCAGAGGAGAGGCTGTGCTGTCATAGGTGTGAAATGCAAAGGGGGCTCAACAGCATCCTCTGTGACTTGCAGCTAGAAATGTCAATTGGCCTGGTCCGAATGGAAGCCAGTCTAGGTGATGAGTCAGTTGAGGACAGAGCGAGTGGGTGTAAAGTTGCAAGGTCCTGGGATACCCTGATCCTGCCAGGCCCCACCAGCCATCTTCCCCAAATCAGTGGCTCAGTCTGTCGGAGCTCTGAGCCAGCTTGTTGCTTCCAAGTAACATCACATTTCAGACCGAGGGACTGGGCCAATTCCCCATTCAAGCCACTGCTGTTTGTGCCTACAGCACAGAGCAGAGCTGCCCCAGACTATCTCATTTTTCTCCCATCAGGCAGCTGGTGGGTTCAATCTGCACAGCACCAGCTGAGTTTGAGGGTGGGGAGTGTGCACAGGACAGCTGCAGAAAACCATTCAACTGAACCCAGGAGATGAGACTCAGAGATGAAGGGTGACAGAGGTGTGTCCTCTCAACACATGACTCCAAGACCCACCACCTGTCCTCCCCAGAGCCTGAGACGCACGTATGCCCCAAAGCACCCAGCTCAGTGCTGGCCACAGCAGATCCCAGGGGAGTATTTGGTAAAGAGCTGAAGGGATGGAGCCCTGAGCCCAAGTGGTTGGCAGCCTCTCAGCAGAGGACAGAAAGGTCCATGTCAGGCTGGAGTCACGAGGAGGGCATGGCCTAGGGGATGCAAGAGGGAGCGCAGCCTCATTCCAAAATCACCCTGAGAGGCAGGGTTGGCTCTGGTGCCAGGAATCCTAAGCCAAGACCCCAATCACCACTCAACCACACAGGGTGGCCCCTGACAAGAGATGGGACAAAGAAAATACCACATTCTTCTGAAGCGAGATAAGCTGAGTGGTCACATCACAGCAAGGTCAAGAAAGGAGCCAGGACCAGTCCCAGTATGGCCCGTCCTGGCCTACTCTGAATGAGAACCAGCCCCCTGCTGTCTACCCCAAGAGAAATTACCCACCTGTACTTGGCTTCCCGTCCCACAAACTGGACCATGCAGCGCATTGAGATGACTGAGGGGAAAGAAAACAACACAAAGGTGATGTGGTCGGACAAAGTCCAAGACACCCAGTCACGGGAAGCTCGGCCCAGAGAGGCCACTGCACAGACGAAACACTTGAATGCTAAGATTCTCTGTCATATCCACAACCACAATGGTCCTTTTCTTCTGCCTGCAAAGAGTTCAGGTTCTCTTTGGGATGGAAGTCCTGGTAAATCTTTTCTCAGGATGGTTCCAATGGACTACCCTCAACCCCACTGCTCAGAACCCTACTGTGTGCATCGACAGACCCTGACCCCATCCCACCATACTCAGGCCTCAGACACAGTCTCCCATGGGTGCTCACCATGCAGGGGGTGGGCCAGCATGCGGGACACACACTGCATCATCATCTCGTAGGAGGTCTGGAAGAGAGCAGAGAGGGGAGTCGGTCAGGTCTATGGCATTCATGGGCAGCTGCAAGCTCTTATGACGGAAAAGTTGAAATCCCACATGGCGTCAGTCTGCCAAGGATGGTATTACCTCATTGTCCATGCCCAGTCCCTTCCACCTGGAGTGCTGTTGGGGCCTGGGCTAAGCGACTGAGAAGGCATTCTGGGCTTCTCTGCAGTGTCTAAACTGCAGCTCTTCCACAGGGACCCACAAGGACCCATGCATAAGGACCCAGCTCTGTTACTCTTCAATGACCAACCTGACTTGGGGGTTAGACAGCATTAAACTTCCTGTCACTACTTCCTGTCACTACCTGGATACCCACCTCCTTCACTACTTTCTTCAGAGAAGTCTTCATGTCATCTTTGTTGGAAACTTGCTCCATCTCATCTGGAGGGAAAACCTGAGGTACACAAAAGAAGCTAAAAGCAGAGTTCAACTAAGCTTCATACAGAGAACTCTTCAGGGAAGGGGAGAGCAGAAACCAACTCCTGAGTCAATCACTACATGGTGTCCTAACAGTGAGGAGAGGGGAGAACTGGGGGGTTTGCTTTCCAAAGTGAGGAGACTTGGGGTTTGGACACAAGGGTTGGCACCCCAACAAGTCTGGGAAGGGAGAATGAGGACCAGTGCCCACAGGCTGCCTCCAGTAGGTGGTGAGGGGCTGGGAGGACTGGGGCAGCTGCTTGGCTCACCTTCTTCATACTGCCTCGGGTCACAGTGGAGAGGGCGTTGGACATCAGCCTGGGGCTCAGGCCTCGGAACAGTCCTATCTTTCCATCTACTTGCACAATGTACTTAGCTATAAGAAAGCAGAGGCGGTAGCATCATGTCCAGCCCAAGTGTTCTATCTCCTGTATTGATCCACACCCACACCAGGTACAGCTTGTCCCATGAGTAAATGCTTATTTCAGGCAAGGATATGTGCATTCGTCCAGAGCCCCAACACCAATTGGGAACCCCAGATGTCCTCTTTACCTCCAATTTCTTTTTTATAAAGCCTTCAAAACATTTTTCTGAGTGTATGTGTTTTCTCTCTTATTTATTTTCTTCAAGCTTTTGTATTGTGAATTGAGTGAAAGTTTATAAGAGCAGATCAGTTTTCCATCAACAATTCATACACATTTTGTTGCACGGCATTAATAGCAATCCCCACTACGCAGCGTTACTTATCCCACAGCCTCCCTGTGTCTCCCTTCTCCTCCTTCCCCAGCCCTTCTGAACTTTGTCCTGGGGTTAATGTTCCCCTTTTCATCTCAAATGGCTGATTAGCATATAAGGTACCTCCCTCATACTACTATTCCCCTTACAGATCTATTGTTTAGCTGAAAATTAATCCACAGGGTGTACTCAGTTCCAGACCTGAAAGAAAACTAAGAGCCATTGTGTCTTACGGGTTTCAACAGTCTCTAGCCAACCAATAAGCCTGGTCTTTTTAGGATTTTGACTTTTACTCTCTATTTCCCACCCACCCCCATTCTATCCAGGACCTTCTCATGTGCTCCTTTTCAGAGCACTTGGTGGTGGTAGCTGGGCACCATCTAGTGCTTTTGGTCTCAGAGTCGGGGTGACTACATTTACGTGGTCTATTAGACCACTGGACCAGTTGTTGAGACATGTTTTTGGCAGACAAGTTAATATATATATATATATATATATATATTTTTTTTTTTTCATCTTTGAAAATTCTACTTGATAAATGGCTACAGGTGGGTTCTAACTGCCAACCATATGGTTAGCTGTTGAATGCTTAATCACTGCCACCAGTGCTCCTTGTCTGTTTTCTTGTTCATTAGAATCTTAGACAGGTCATCTTTTTAAATGTTTCATTGTTTTGTTTAATATCAACTTATTAGCCATATCAAAAAGAAGCAATGTATTGTTATAAAGCTGCAGACCCAGACGTAGGGCTGTTATCTAGGGCACGGTGGCATGGCCCATGGCCTGGCCACCACCAGAATGTGGGCACCCCTGAGCAGTTTCCATTAGTCACCCAAGTTTCCTCAATCAGCCACGGGAGTTCATTCAGCAAGTTAAAACTAATGCCATAAAAGCGAAGCTAGCAAAACATTTTCTCAGACAATGTGCTCCCCTGTCAGACTCAGAATATGGGTCTCTAGCACCAACCAGTGGCAGGAACTAGCAAACATGTCTCTTTCTTAGCAACATGTCCAACCTGGGAGGGTAATTGTCACTGCTTTCACAGGACTTTGAGAGCACCTGCTACCTATAGATTTGGTTTCCTGAGAATGGAGTAGGGGTAGAAAGAGAGGTGGAGGGGAGGAGAGGGACCGTTGGCCTTGTGGCAGTGCACCCTGCTTCCCAGGGTGAAATGGTAGAAGGAAGCTCTATGCTGGGGGAGGGGCATCCTAGTCACCCAGAAGGTGTAGCAGCAAAAGAGAGAGCTTGTGGGGAGAAAGCCGCACAGTGCCATTGTGACCACAACACTGAACTTCTTTCTGCCCTCAATAAGCCCTCCAGCCTGGCTTCCCACAATGCCAGTGTTATCTCTGTATGTTCACTTCATTGTACAGGGAAGGGGCACTTTTCTAATTCTGTGACTTCCCTCGCCTACATTGAAAATTTGTAAAAAATCAAATCAAATACAAATACATTTCCCACAAAATGGCATGGTCTAACTCCAGACTCAACAATACAGGGGTAAAACTGAAAAGAAATCTGATTCAGTCAATAGTTAATATGTAAAGCTTAAAAAAAAAAAAAAGATTTTTTTTAAAAGGGACACAGTAGTGAAGTGAAGCCTCCCAAAGGCAATTTTCAGTGAACATTCTGAACTGACCAAAAGATAAGAACAGGGGTTGGGAAACACAAGGCGGTCACCTGGAACTGGCCCTAGTCAGAAACAAAGAATATAGCTGAGACCCTTACCTCATTCTGAGGGGGTTGGAAGAGGGGAAAAAATAGTGGGTGTCTTGATTAGTGCTGCTAGAACTTCAATCCCACAAGTGGGTGGCTTGGCTTTAACAAACAGAAATTTATTTTCTCACAGTTTGTGAGGCTAGAAGGGTGAATTCAGGGTCCAACTCTAGGGGAAGACGTTTCTTGTCTCTTCTGAGCTTCTCCTCCTGGGCAGCCTTCGTGGGGCTCGAAGCCTCTCTTCCCCCATGTCTGCTCTTATATATCTCAGGAGACTGACTCACGGACACACTTTACACTAACCCTACACCTCATTCACATGACAAAGACAATACATCTCCAATGGGATTATTATGACCACAGGCATGCTGTGGTTGTTGAGTGCCCTCAAGTTGGTTCCAACTCATAGCAACTCTGTATAAAGTTTCTGAGGAATGGCTGGTAGGTTTGAACCACTGACCTTGTGGTTAGTAGTCCAGTGCTTATCCTACAGCATCACACCAGGAGATTTCATGACCAAAGGCATAGAGTTTAGGATTTATAACACACTTTGTTGGGGAGGAGGCACAATTCAATCCATAACAGTGGGCATGAAAAGGACTTGGTCATCTGGCACTCGGAGAGCAGCAGAGGCCAAAGGGTGGGCTCCTGGGGGAGAGAGCTCAAGGCCAGCAGTGAGCTGCTAGAGCAGGCAGCTGGATGAGGGGCTTAGGCAGACCTGACTGTCCTTTGCTGACAAGAAAAGCCCAATCAGAGCAGTCAGGTGCTCTAAGTGCCGGCAGCCTGCCAGGGGCAAACCAGGAGGGGGTGGGGTAAGGTGGGGGCAAGAGGGCAGGTACCCCAACTCCTGGTGCAGTGTCTTCACTTTCACTACTAACTGTTCTAGAACCAGATGCTGGAGAGGCCAGAGTGAGTAGGCACCACTGCCTTGGGATACAGAGGAAACAGGACGAAAGAAGAAGCCAGGGTCGTGGGGGAGACAAGCCTCCTGCTATAGCATCAGAACATAAAAGCTGGGCCCGGGGCATAACTGCTCAGAGGACAAAAGGAAAGCTACCCCACCCCTGCTTTTAGACACAACTTGGGGGAGACATGGACCTGTCCTAGATGAACCCCTCTAGCAGGGGTCCCCCCTCCTGTGACCTGGGCTGGCAGCTGTAGGTGGAGGAGTTGGGCCAGAACTGTATTGTTCACTTGCTCCACCTTAACACCCTGCTGCCTCTGGCCACTCGTAAATTCCCTTTTCCACCCCAGCTCTGACTTGGAGTGCCACACTGACCAGCCGTGTCCCTACACTAGCCGCACTGCTACCCACTGGACACTTCTTTTACATTCGTGAAGGCTTTCCTGCCTGGGATGAGCACTCACCGTAGGTAAAGAAGCTGGGCAGGTACAGGACCTTTCTCCCCAAGACATTGGTCCCAATGGTGGGGGGCATGGGCTCATGACCCACCTTCAGAAAGAACAAATACAAAAGGAACGTCAGATTCCAATGCTGCTTCTGCCTCATGCTTTCCACTTTCCCAGGCCTCGAGCTCTTCTCCCACAAACTCAAATACCATCCCGCTACTGTTTGCCCCTCAAAACACATCAAAAATGTCCTCAGTTTATAGCAGTTGGCAGAGCCCTGGCGTGGTGCTGCGGGTTAAGCGCTGGACTACAAAGTCAGTTTGAACCACGAAGGTTGGCAGTTCAAGCTAGCTCACCCAGCCACTCCTTGAAAACCCCATACAGGGTCGTTATGAGTCGGAACCGACTCGACAGCACTCAACAGCAACACTGCAGTTAGCATCCTGTCATCACCCAGTGAAAAGAATCCTAGTCCCAGGTACTACCCAACCATGATCCAAGTTACTCCTGTTCCTCAACATTTTTACCTTCAAATCCCAGATCGTCTGAGTTCAGAATCTCTCATTTTTATGTACCCCAAGCCTTCTCTCTGGTCTCAAAAGAAACCTTAATTCATTCTCATCTCTGATTATATACTTCATTCCAATGGAGTTCTCAAATGTGGCAACACGAAAACATGTATGCCACTCCCAAACCTCAGATAGCTCCAGCTCTAAGGTAACCCATTCCAAAGCTCATCCCAAACTCAATTCTTACTGAGCCCACTGCAGACACCTCCAAGACATGTCCTTCCCATGTACAGGAATAATCAACGATATTACCCCAGATCCCAGGTGCTCTTCAACTGTATCCTAATCTCAGCCATCACACATGACAGAGACTAGGATACAGTTGTGATGACTGGCACACCCTTCCCGCCTGTTGCTGCAGAGCTACTCAACAAGTATGTCTTGGAAGAAGTACAACCTGAGTGCTCCTTAGCCTCGAGAAGGGTTGAGATTTCTTTTGAACAAACTTTGGACACATCACCAGGAAGGTCAGTCCATGGAGAAGGACATTGTGCATGGGAAAGTAGAGGGCCAGTGAACAGAGGTTAACCTTCAATACAATGGGCTGCCACGGTGGTTACAAGCATCGCAAGAATGGAGGATGGTACACGGCCAGGATTTCATTCTGTATTACAAAGGGTTCTATGAGACAGAACCCACTTGAAAGTACCTAAGAAAAACATGAAATTTCTTGCTGTACATTTGCTGATTATAACTAAAATGGTCAACAGGTAATGACCACAACATCCATGTCTATGTGGAGAGAGAGAGGGCTCTCTGGAGGGCTGAGACTGTTTGTTAAGCTGCCAATGAATGGAGAGAGAGATACTCACTCCCTGCCGCCACACAGGAAGTGAGGTGTCCTGGAGACCAGTGTTGAGGTGGGGAGTAGGAAGACCCCTCCTTTGGCAGGGGGCCAGGACACCAGGCCTATGCCCTTAAAGCAGGCCAATGGGGCCTGCAGGCGTGGAAGGGACGGAAACAGCAGGGTTAGGAAGTCCTGCCTCATAAATTGGACTAAGTGTGCTTTTAGTGTTTTCCTGACTCAAGTTCCTTTCTTTTCCTCCTTGCTGTTATTGTTAAGTGCTGTTGAGTAGATTCCAGCTCATATCGACCCTCTACAGGGTTTCCAAGGAGTAGCTAGCTGGTGGGTGGTTTGCAGTCCAGTGTTGATCCTACAGTGCTACACAAGGAATCAAGTGATTTTCAAAGTTCAGGTGGTCCCAGTGTAGATGTGATTCAGAATTAACTACCTGACAGATTAACCTAACACACAAACAAACAAAAAACAGAACAAATCAGATGCTAACTCATGGCGAACCTATATGTTTCACAGCAGAACTGTGCATCACTAGGCATCGAAAGTTGTGACTTTTTTGGAAGTAGATTACCCGCCAGGCCTTTCTTCTGAGTACCTATAAGCAGTTAAGTGCTTCACTGTTTGCGCCACTGAGAGCCACATGACAGGTTACAGATTGTAAATTAAGAAAAACTCTTTGTGTGATGGGAAATTTCTTTTTAAAAACAACAACAAAAAACCCCTACAACTTCTAGTCCAGAAGTTGAAGGAGAAAGGGGACAAAGGATTGGTGGAAAGACTGTCCCAGGCAGTTAGCCTTCCCCTCCTAGACCTTTTTATTTGTGAGTTAAATGCAGGAAAGTTCTGAGTTTAAGTTCTGTTTTCTTAAATATCAGCAGTGTTCCAATAAGGAATCCTAGTGGTATGGTGGTTAACGCACTGGGCCGCTACCTGAAAAGGTGGTGGTTTAAGCCTAGCAGGTGCTCTTTAGGAGAAAAAAGAGGCTGTCTGCTCCCGTAAAGATGAAAAGATTTACAGTCTCAGAAAACCTAAGGAATCAACTCAATGGCAGTGGGTGGGCTCCCTTTATGCCCTCCACTCCAAGTGAGAACTCTGGCTTGTTTGCTGTCTTACCCAGTCTCCATTCAGGAGCCCATGAATGCCAGTCTCACCCTGAAATCTGCAATGCCTCACAAACCTGTGGCTCTTAAATCTATTTTCTTAGCTTCCAACCTGGGCTATCCAAAGGTACACTGGTCATACCTCACCCTTTCCTTTTGCCTCCAAGTTTTAAATATTTGTTCCCAAACTATGCTCAATTTCATCCCCAATCTGTCAACCCAGCCCTAACTACAGCCAAGTAGTCCCTGGGTGACACAAATGGTTAATGAACTTGGTTGCTAACCAAAAGGTTGCTGGTTCAACTACACCCGAGGGGTCTGGAAAGATAGGCCTGGTGATCTACTTCCAAAAAAAAAAATCAGAATGGAATGCAGGATGACTAGTTTAATAGCACTTTCCTGGGGTGGTGCTATAAAGTCAGCACTGGACTGGGAACCACAAGGTCGGCAGTTCAAATCCACCAGCTGCTCCTCAGACACCCCATACAGCATCGCTATGTGTCAGAGCAAAACTCAACAGCCCTTAACAACAACAGTTTAATCACAGCCAAATTTGAGGCTCTATTCAGATACATGCAGTCCCAGCTCATCATCCTCAAGTCTCCCAATTCCCCAAACCTAATACCCATGAGAGCCTTGATCTGAGGCACTTCTTAATCACTTAATCTCAACAACCCCTAAATCTGTCACTCCATTCTCTCCATTCCCAAACTGTGATCGACCTTTTTTTACAAAATGATATTCTGATCCCCATGTTACTCCCATTAAGATTTCACCATTAAATCTGGCACAGTTAGCAAGGTTCAAATCTGATAGTCCATTTCTGTCCCCTCCAATGGGCTCACCCTTCCTTACACACACACCATTCTGTTCTCACCCTTCAGTCTCCCTCAGCCGCAATTCCTCTTTCCAAACCCCTCTTATTTCAAATTTCTTCTCAAATCTGTAAACCAAATCCACCACGGTCTAAACAATGAAGCCACTTTCCCATTTCCTGAACATTCCTTGTACTCCAGCCTCCTCCACTCCACACCCCCTCTTCTCATCTGCTGCACTAAACCCCAGCCCTCACCCAACTACAGCCTATCAGCCTTTCTGAAAAAGTCAGCTCTTCCTCAGCCATTTCCAAATCCCAATCACAATTAGCTTCTAGCCAAGCACCCTGATTCCCCTGCCTTAATCCCCCATTTCTTGTCATACCCCAAAACTATTACCTTTTCTCCCTTCCCAATTGTCAGATCCTAGATTCCAATTACTCCCAGTCTCAAGGCCCTCCATTCCAACTGCATCTCCAAATCTCTCAGTCCAAATCTAAGGAGAGTTAAATTCAAATCTCAAACTTCAATTCGTGGTTAAATCTCCCTCCGTATCAAGTGACACCTCCTATTCCACAGCATTTTCTACTGAAGAAATTCTAGGCGACATCTTCAGAATCAAGTGCATGACCTAAACAGCTCACCACCTCCAGTCTGAACTGTGCCCATCTCAGTCACACCCACCTAATTTTGCCAAATGCACTCCTTCTATCCCACCCTACCTCCACTTTCCTGCTCTCCCTTTCTCAAAGCAGCTAACTTCATCTGTAACTCACCACTGGCCACCACTAAATCCGCCAGGTTCCCCATTCACCCTCTCATTCCAGCGGCATCCCTATCTTAGTTTGTTTCTGCCAATCCTTACCTAGCCTACCACCTGTGACTCCACCACCCCGTCAGCCCTATTCCAACAGTCTCATACCCCTTCAGTTAGCAAGGTTCAACCCCACCCCACCCCCAGACTCCAACCGATTTCCATTTTCTCTTACGTGCATATACGTCATCCCCTATCCTATCTGCCCCCCAGCAAAAGCCTCGGCCACATTTTCCTCTCCAGACACATCCCTACAACTCCCCTCCCCCAATGCATCGCTGTATCAATCAGTTCACTTCCCCCAAAACGCGTCACCCCTCCCCACCCCCCCACCCCGCGTCGCGTCTCCTTCTTCCACCAAATCCGTTGTCGCCATCAAATCCAGAGACCCTGTCCCCTGCATAATGATAGCTTTCCTCTGCTAAATTCTTTGCCCCTTCGCACCACAAGTTATCACCATTAAATCTAATACACTTCGTCCTCTCCTCCCTCAAGTCAGATGGCCCTTCCAACGCCCCCCCCAAATTTCCAACCCTCTCCTCCACTCCTTTGTCTCCTAAAACGCTTTATATCCCCATCTCCTCTACACAATCTAGAGTGCCCTCTCTTCTCTACCCCAAACCTGATCTCCTCACCCCCTAAATCCTATGCCTTAGCCCCCAACCCCTCTCTCCCACCCCATTCACCCAAACTTCTCGTCCTTCCCCCAATGCTATTGGTCCCTCACTCTAAATCCATTGATTTCCCTTCCCTTCTACCTTAAATCCTACACCTCCGTCAGTCTCCCCAAATCACCACTCCTCTCTCTGGCCCCCAAGACCCGTTGCTCTTTCCACTCTCCAAATCTTTCACTCTAATTCTTTTTCCCTTTCCTGCACCCCAAAATCCGGCATCCAATCACCCCCCTCAAGCCTTCTCATCTCCTCCGCACCTTCCCCACCCCCCACCCCC